CTATGTATATGTATATGTATATGTATATGTATATGTATATGGGTGTATCACACACACAAAATAACCAAAATTCTGTTTCGATGTGTAAGCTTGCATTAATGTTGGGCCAAAGGCGAAAATTGAATTACCATGGCCGTAGCGGGGCCGGCTTACAGGTGTGGACGTGGCCGCCGCGCAGTAGTTGCCAATTGAATGGTGATTTTAATCTATCATCGTATCGTTGTCCAGGTCACCTACCAACCCTACTTTATGCTGTACGGCGAGGTGTTTGCCGACGACATTGACCCTCCCTGCGGCGAGGATCCGCGCCAGCCGGCCTGCGTGACGGGTAAGTTTGGCCACGTGGCCTCTGGCTCAGGTCCTTACTCGGGCAATGGCTCTAGCTTTGGCTCTGGCTCTTTGACGTGCACACAGTACTATTAATATGATTACAGGCCATTGGGTTACACCGATAACGATGTCCATGTATCTGTTGATTGCCAATATTTTGTTGATAAATCTGCTCATCGCCGTGTTCAACAACATCTTCAACGAGGTCAACTCTGTGTCACACCAGGTACGATCCAATGTAGGGCTCAGCAACGCCAAAGACCAGGAACTAACCAAAATGTTTTGATGATTACAGGTCTGGATGTTCCAGCGATTCACAGTGGTGATGGAGTACCAGCAAAAGCCCGTCCTGCCGCCGCCTTTCATTGCCTTTTGCCATTTCTATTCCCTGCTAAAGTACTGCGTGCGCAAAGCGAAAGGTGAGCCCGGCATGAGCAAGTTTAGCTTTGTTCCCTGTGAGTCTATCATATCTGAATGCTTCATTCGATTGTACAATATCTAACTTTTCTCCCCGGCGTGCCTGCTCTAACACTCAACGTCGCTGTGTCTCTTTCTCTGTATTTTACCGTACACCCACTTCAATTGTATTCAATCAATTGTGGAACATACTTTACTCGTGCAAAACAACAATAACAACGTATAATTGGGTTATGATGTACAATGCGCATATACTTTTCGTGAATTAATATTCCATTGTGCATCCCCCCGGTGCTGCTGTTACTGTTGTCCATTTTATTGCTTTCCTGGATTTCAATTTCGACTGTCCTGTCCTGTCCTGTCCCACAGGATTGGAGGTGCAGCGGGACAATGGTCTCAAGCTGTTTCTGGAGAAGGATGACTTGGAGCGACTGTACGACTTTGAAGAGGAGTGCGTGGAGGGGTTCTTCCATGAACAGGAAATAATATTGAATCAGTCCACCGATGAGCGGGTAAAAAACACAACGGACCGAGTCGAGACCATGTCCCAGAAAATCGAGGACATCAATCAAAAAGAGAACATCCAAACAGCTACCGTGCAGGTGCGTATCCACCTCTGTCTCCTAAGTCTCAAGTCCTAATCACAGGCTTGAGTCTCTATTCCAATATTTAATTGGTGCACATCAATGGCCTTCTCATGCTCAAGTGCAAGACTTTGATGCAAGTGGCTTTCCTCACTACGTTTGCGTTTCCTTTCACCTAATAGAACATTGAATTTCGTTTGCGGAAAATGGAGGAGTCGTCCGAGCAGATACTGTCGCACCTGGCGGTCATACATCGCTTCATGTCTACACACACGGTAGGTACGGATGACATGCGGGGCTCAGCGATAAACATTCCAGGTGAAGTCCACCGCATTCGGACCATTTCAATTACGGATACCGATGGAGGCGGTGGAAGCTCAGGAAACGNNNNCGGTGGCGGTGTTGGTGGAAGTGGTGCTGTTGGGGGAGCCGCTGCTGTACCACTTGCTCTAGGCGCTGGCCTAAATTTAAATTCCCTGCAGGTTTGTATGATCTATTCGTTTATTCTTAGAAATCCCACTTCAAGTATGTACATATATCGAAATAGGTGACCAACCGACGGCGCTTTAATCGCTCTCTAACGGAGGTGCGTCCAGACGCCTACATTCTCGACGAAGGCACACACTTTGAGGTGGTGCCCCTGCCGGAGGAGCCGGATGAAGTGGTTAAGTCTCGCGAAGCCCTCAACGAGCAGGTCGTGCGGAAGGCATCGATGCAGTCGGAGGCAGACTCCGATATCTACTTGCCGTTGTCGCAGCGTCCCTCCACCTGTGAGACGGTGAAGCGCACTCCCTACGTAACTGTGCGCCAGGACACGGGAGCCAGCACGGAGAGTAAGGACACCTTGACACCGCTAGGCACCAACGATGACGACCAGACGCTGGTCGGGGGCGATAACTCCGATGATGCGGCGCCTGACATCAACTTTGAGGGTAATTTCCTTGCCGTCCACTGATCAACTGCTCCCCAAATTGCATTTCCTATCGTTCACTCTTTATGTTGTGTAAGCTATTGCGTTTCGTTGTGTTGATAATATCTCTTCCACTGCTCTCTGCTGTACTGTACTGTAATCCTATGTTCTGTTACGATATGTCCTCGCAGTAGCGACCCTCTTTAAAAGTGTACTTCTAATCGCATTTAGCTGCCAGGCATCGAGCGCTCCGCCAGCGCACAGTCTCGCTCTGCCGCCGGAACTCGGAGACGTATTCTCTGGCCGGCGCGGACATAAACCGGTCGCACATCAGCCTTAACCAGCTGACAATGCAGGTGTCACGGCGCCAGATGAGCCTGACTCAGTCCGAGCCGGACAGTGACAAGGAGGTGCCAGCGGCTGGATGCAGCGCATATCCGGGTATGTATCGAAGCGAGGAACGATGCACCTCAGCCGGCCACAGAATTGCGCTCTAAATTCTAGCTACTAACCCTCATGCCCTCAAGCCCACTAACCCCATTATAACCCAAGCCCAAGATCCAACCAATCCAGCAAACGATTTGGCCCGTAAATTAGCCATATTATTGTTCTCTCGCACCCAATTGATCTCTTACACATTCTCAACCTAACCACGAACTCCGAACTTTAGGTAAATCAGTATTGCATGCGAAACCCTCACGAAATATATTGCTGAAACTGCACAGCGAGTACACGTCGATCACTGATGAGCTGGAGAGCGTCTGCCACATGATTGCCTCGCCAACGGTCTCCCTGCAGAGTAACAAAGGTAAGCTTCGTGCAGAGCCTGGGGCTCACTGGGTCACAGTTCGATTTGCCACTACCACTTGTAATATCCGTAACGTGGCCAGTGGCCAGCCAGTCAGAGAATCCCATACTACCTATATAATCGTGAGAAATGTGTGAATAACTAACCGGGTGATTGCGCACACCCCGTTTCATTGCCTTGCTTCAGACGCCTTCAAGCAGCACCTGTCCTGCCCGTCGATCAGGTCTTCCGCTCAAAACCTCTTCTATAAATTTGTTATTTTCGTCTGACAGCTTCATTGGATCGTCCCAAGACGGAAATGTCGCGCGCAGAAGCCGCGGCTTTACAAGAGAAGAAACATTTGAAGGAGTGCGAGGAGAACGATTACAGAATACTAGAGGGACTCTTTGAGGCCCGTGGATCGATGGATGTCAGCGCCGAGGCCTTTGAGGTATCTCTCATCCAAATAACTTATCCACTTGTGGAATTTTGGCAAGCTTGTAATGTTATCAATATTCCCAAACAGAGCGTCATATCCGTGGACTACAGCCAACGCTATCCGCTGCGTCGCGAGACTGCCGTTGAGCTGTCGCCTTCGAAGCCTTCAGCTGAGATTGATCTCATGGGGGGCGGCGGAGGTGGCGGAGACAGCAGTGATACAAGTGGAGCAGGTAGCTGCAGTGCCATGGGGGCAGTCGCAAGTGGGTTTCAGCTCAAAGACGAGCGCCCCTGGCAGCGCAACTCCTCAATGGAGCAGCAGACATATCCGTCGCCTCTGGTTCCCGCGAGAGCCACAAGCGACTTCCTCAATCCACCCTTCGAAAGCAGCGGACGCCTGTTCAAGAAATCCAGCGAAAGTCTGCAGAAGAACTCGAGTACCGAAACAGACTATTCTGCCCATCCGTATCGCTTTATCAAGCAGAGTTCTAACGAGACGAACACCTCGCTTACCGGCTCTTACAACGTGGACACGCCCTCACTCACCGCGGAGCCCTCTTTGGATGCCTGCGACTCGCATTCAGCGACGGGAATTTCCATGAGCGTTGGTGCTGCTGGCGGAAATACCGCTGCGCGTTACCAGCCCATTCGCACGACTTCCATAGGCGCGGCCGATGGAAAACAGCTGCGCGACGAGAGCTTCAGTTCGCGACAGAGTCCAGAGCTCGGAGCCCAAGGCTCGGCTCCAGTGACGATGCAGGCACCGCCAGCTGTACCAACTCGCCCGATGTTGCTGAAGAAACAGTTTAGCCTCGACAAGGGCAAGCCAGTTCAAGCTCTAACCGCTGCTGAGGCTATGGCCACACCAGACCCTGGATTAGACGCAGCATCTGCTGCCCAGACCAGGGCCAAACTGATTTCCACGCTGAAACCACAGTCTCACACGAGCAAACTGGGAATGAACGTCCTCAAGGAAAGCAGCTCCAGTACAGAGGGGTCCCGCGATGGCGAAGGCCTGTCCACTCCGTCCTCTGCCAAAAACAGCAACCCGGCAATCTCCATACCTCAGATTAGCACGCATCTTGTGCAAGATGAAATCGCAAAGCTGTCATCTAACATTAAAAGCAGCACTGAATCTGAAAAGGACCCGCCGTATAACGAGACAATGTGTTAGAAAATCTGAATATCATTGGATATAGTTGTTACAGCTAGCTAGGAGATCAGCATCGGTGAACTCGGTGATACCTCTAGCCGCTAAAAAATAGAATACTGATGGAGGCATGGAGGAAGGTTGGAGGGTTGATATTTTCGAGGCAGTTGAACATTAAATGCAAATTAATAATCTTGACAATACAAAGTTCACAGATTGTCTGTATTTTTATACAAGTATTTATTTAGAAGCGTTCGTTGCTGTTTCATAATAATACACATATGTACATACACACCTACGTCCAAACATAAAATACACATATACGAAAAGGTAGACATCAGTCAAACCATTAAAAATAAGCATTTCCGTGTGCATATTTCTGAATACTTTCGAAAAATCACAAACTAATTTTATTATGGATTGCTAAAATAAGGGATAACACACGTTCGATACTTTTAAAAAGGCCTAGCCATAGTCAGTCTTTCTCGTACATATGCAATTTTCAAGCAACCACACTTACATATCTTGAGCAACTACACTACTTTACCCAGCAACAAACATATTATAACCAAGCGTGCACATATGTATGTACATATGTACTGTCGGTACACTTACATACCACGACAAAATTAAATAATTAATTCAGCAAAACCTACTCAAAAGTATTTCTGCCAGACTTCTCGTATAGTGTAATTAGTTAGTTAATCCATTTTAATCGTTCATAAGAAATAACTACATGTGTGTACTCTGTGTATGTGTACATACATATGTATGTACACATATGATGTTTAGCAGCCTTTTTCGACTGCTTCAAATGTCACTGTGAATATGAAATAAATGGTGTTTTAAATGATCGCTAAAACTTTTTATGTTGGGCTACTTTGTATTAAAACTATAATTAGTTGTACGAGACTTAGAATTAATTATAATAACTGCATTTTACCGATTCTAATTAATATGCTTAAACGTAAAGTACATTTGTACCAATAAGCATTTTTAATTTGTCGTCACATAAGTTGTCTTATTGTTATATGCATCTTTTAAAACTTGTTATCCTCAATATAAAATCAAATTCCCTGAATTCACACATTTTCCACTGATCATTTTCTATCTGTACCATCTATGCAAACACACAAATAAAATCTTAATTTCGGTATAAAATCTGATATTTTAGAAATTTCGGCTGCACCGTTCCTACTTCCTCTTATATGTAATACTAAAATAGTTTCTACAAAAGCTTTATTGTGCTCAAAATATACTAGTTTCGGTTTTACAGTTGACAGTGTACAGTGTACAGTAGATCCACTAAAACTATTCAAACAATTGATTATTACAAATGTTTAATAAATATTTACAAACAAATGGCAATAAAGTATGTGTTGCACACGAGGCACTTTTTTACATAAACTAATTGTCGTTGAACTACAAATTACAAGACACTTATCATAGACCACTAGGAAGTTAAACCAACTAGAACATTCAATGCTTTCGTGGTTCATAAGCGTGCAGCAATCATTTAAATTGTGAGGACATTCGTTTATCGACCTTATCGATTTCGATTCGTTTCTTAAATGCATGTGGAACATACTCAGTGTAGATAAACAATTTGTAAAGGCGTCTTTAAATTATAATATTAGGATTTGGTATCAGTGAAACTTGCAGCTTGTTTTCGCCAAAAGTTAGTTATTGCCGTCGCTATTTAGGTTCTCAGCCTCGGGTTCGTCGGGGCTCTGTTTCACCAGTCTATTCAGCTCCTCCTTTTTAGCTCGATTAAAGAAGCCGAACTAAAACAGGAAAATAAACTTTCAGTTAATGACATAATCAGATTTTGATCGGGATACGCACCTTGTAGAGGGCATAGCTTATCGCTGAGAGCAGAAGCAATCCACCGATTATGGATACAATTATGATCCAGATGGGAGTGCGCGACTGCAGATGTTTGGATATCACATTTGGCTCAATCTTCCGATTGATGGAGAACGAGCTGCCGGACAGGTCTCCCTTTTTCAACAAGTCCATGTCGGTCAGGATGACAAAATACTCCCATGGATCCAATAAAATAGCATTGACTTCATTGAGGTCCACGGAATAACGCACATTCAGGTTGACAGGCTTATCCGCCCTAAAGTTGTATACATGCATCTCGGCCCGTACGCAGATCGTCATGTCGGGATCCCTGCAGTTAAACACAATTGTGCGATTCACCGGCAGCTTGCCCTTAAAGTCCTCGCTGAGCAGGTCATGCGCCTTTGCGTTAGAGATGCGAGCGTACTGCTCACGGTTGGCAGTCAGCGCCTTGAGATCCCGTCGCTTCCGCGTCATTGAAGCGGTAGCCACCCTATCAGCGTCGAGCTCTTGCCAAGACTGATGAACATGCCCACTCGTCGTGATATCGTATCCCTGTCCATTCTGTCTAAGCACTGTTCGCTCCGTGCTCTGAATCCCGCGTGGGGTGGAAATTTCTATTGGATCGAGGATCAGCCTGGTGTTGTTCTGATTGAACAGCTCTATACCCAACAGCTGAGCATCATAAGTTGCCTGCATCTTCAGTGTAGTTATGTTGATGATGGGGATGACGGCGGTCGATCCAGCAATCTTATACGCTATGGGTATAAGAAAGGACAATGTCAAGTCGTCGATAATACTGGGACCATTGCTCTTAATCTCATAATTGTTGATTATTTCCGCAGAGTTTTTGTAGTGTTCCAAGTCAATTTGGCCATTTATTTGGCCCCTTTAAAGGACAAGAAAAATTTGAGTTATTCCCGTGCCTGTACAGAGCACACGTTTCTTACCCTGTGGCGTCTATCTCGGTGTACTCTCTCAGACTGATCACATTCGTCTGCCTATTGTCCATGGGATTCTTTTCATAGCCCGTGCTGAACACCTCGGCGTTTATTATGAGTGCTACTCCACTCAGAGTGCTTACGTCGAAGCTAATAGTGATGACATCCCTATCCCCCTTGGCCAGCGGTCGTCCCCGGTTCAGATCGCACACCATTCCCGTATCGCTCACCCTGCAATTTCCCGGTATCTGAGCGAAGCTCAAGTGGGGCACGCTTGTCACATTGAATTGTGGCAGATAGGCAGTCTCTCCGTTGTTGGTGATCTCGTAGTTCAAGCGGATAGTACTGCCACTTCCCAGAGTGTAGGTAGGGCTAGAAAACAAGACTCTTTTAGAATGCTACCAAGCCATATGGCACCTGATCGAGGTTACCTCACTTCCTTGCTTTTCACTTGTAAGTCAGCAATACATATATCAGTCGCGCAACCCGTACTGAAGATGATCTTCTCGGTGTAGACTTTCGACTCTGAGGGATCAACAGCAACACACGTCTGGCAGAAATCTTAAAATGTTGGGAAAATTGTATTAAAAATATTTCCTATCATTTGCAATTGTAGACGCTTTGATCTCACCCTCAGAATCAGGGACTTTCTTTGTTAGTTCGTAGTGCATCTCCAGCTCGATGGGTGTGAATATGTCCTTCTCACTGTAGCGCACAATGCACTCAAACACTCTGCACTGTTCCGTCAATCCTGCGTCGACTGTGAAACTTATTTCATGGCTTTGTGTCTGAGTGAACTTGGCTCGTTTTAACTGTGAATCGATGACGATGCGGATGGACATTTCCTGCTTTTGGACTGCTGGCGCTGTGGCCGTGGTGGTTATCCCATAGCAGGCTGTGATTGCCACCTTGTCCTGCTCCGGCTTGATTTCACGCGACTGCGACTTCACAGTGGCTTTTAGTCTGACAACTGGATAAGCACGATACAAATAGACGGCCTCAGCGTTCGGAGCTCCGATTGCAAAGTCATTAAATCCATTGCCATCGATATCGGACCCACGAGAGAGCCCATGTCCAAACATATGAGCTCCATACTTTGAGGGCAATGCCGAAGGAGAATCTAGCCGCTGGCTTGGCAAGTTCCGCAAACCATGCTCGCTACCCAGGTAGATGAAAACCGATCCATTTCCTGCAAACGGCGCACCCACAGCGATATCTATTCAGAAGCGGAAAACGAAGTTGTGTAACAAGTGCAAAGTTCAAAGCAAATGACAACGACTAACCATTGTAGCCATCGTGATTAATGTCTCCCAGGCGGGTTAGCGTAGTCCCAAAACGGGCCTTACTGGCAATGGGTGATCGCAGCAGTTTCGACTCAAAATTGAACTGCAATTGACAATATGGGTTTAGGGATAAGTCACATTCACAGCGGGCATTCGGACTCAGTCATACTCACAAAGCCCTTGTTGATAAAAATGTAGATGGCACCGTTGTCGTGAGAGTCTTCCTGGGAGTGTTGGGGGGCTGAAATCACCACATCCGTCCGTCCATCACCGTTGAGATCTTCGGCGAGCACTGAATAGCCAAAGTACTCCCCAAACTGTTCACCGCGGAACACATGGAATTTCTTGATGGTCTTGCCCAGCACATCGAATATATATGCCTCGCCGGATTGCCTGTTGGCCTGTGGAGCGGTGGCCACGTACAACAGATTGGTTAGGTTGCTGCTGTCGAAATACCCAGATGCCACAGCATAACCAAAGTATGAGTCATCCTGTTGACCCCAGTTCTGGGGCTTGGGAATTTCCGGGACGAAGTTATCGGGTGTGTATTCGCTGGAGTCGCTCTCCCGTGTCTTTCGGCGCAGAGCGCTACTAGTGTCACGCCGGCTGACGCTTGGGTTTTCTGAAGGGTCGACTCGCCCATAGAGTATCACCGATCCTTTCCACGTGTATATGCCGGGGGCACCAATCAGAAATTTGCTGTTGTCGTCCGAAACATGAGCACTCAGTCCCAGCTCGCCAAGAATGTAGTAGAAGTTAATTTCGTTGCCACTATCTGCCTGCACCACTTGATCCGACTTTAGTCGCAACGGGGAAATCCGATTCACGTGCTGCGGACTGCTAGCCAGGGTGTTTTGCACCCAATAGCACACTCCATGCATATGGTAATCCTTTGCACTAGGAGCATAGAATCGTGGGGCGCACACAAGCAGCTTGTCCTCGTCGCTGGTGCCGCCGTCCATCGAGCCACCCAGCCATTGGAAGTCCTTTCGCTCCGAGTCGAAGGTGTACTCACTGTACGGAGCGTCTCTGTTTCCATTGGGATCGAGGACATATGGGTTGCAGGCGCCGGTTGTCAAAGAGCATCTGTAAATGGCGCCGGTCTCGTTGATTTGGCGCTGTGACTCCAGGGATGACTGAGCTCGCGGGGCTCCCACAATGACACTGAAACGATACAAGGAAAATAAAGGTAAGTACCCGTATATCGATACGTACACACATCCATACATATATGCATATGAATGTATTAGTCAGACTTTGAAGTCAGTAAATATTTTCTATGTATCATTCATTAGTCGATTTTTCCATCTAAATTTCTGTCAAGTGGAAAACGAGATAGCGCATGAGACTGCCCATGGGGTGTGCGTCTTCCGATTCGCTTTGATCCGTAGCGTACGTGTGTGTATGTGTATGTGTGATGTGCAACAGGTCTCAGTTGGGTTGGTTTATCACCGATTTTACGCTAGCGGCGTTTGACTGTGGCAGCAGGCAATCTTATCTTAAAGCGCAGAAAACGAATCTGGCAACGTTGGCTGATAACAAATTGGCATTGACTGTTTTAGCTTGAAAATAGCGAGCTTTGATGCCACAAAATGAACATAGTATGTATGTATGTACGGCAGAGACAATATTTGCATTTATTCCAGCTCTTCCCGTTGCCACCGCACCCGGTGGGGCAGGGCTGGTATCTAAAAAATATGTTTGTGCAGTCACCTCCACGTTATGTATGGATAATTGATATTGAGAGTATGACTTCATCGTTTGTGCACGGTGCGAGTTTGTACTCAATGTTTTTCACTGTACTGTGCTTCTTTGTCGCTGTGGTAGCCTCTCCTCTCAACCTTCTCATTCACTTTTACTACTACTATCATTTCGGAGTTCGATTCCCGCCAGCGTGAATCATACGAACTCAATGCACAACCTGTTTACTCTAACGGACGCCGCTCCAGCTGCCCGCACCCAGCAGCTCCAAAGTCTCAGAGTTTGAGAGCTTCAGAGTCTTCCCCCGCCCACTTACCCTTTCGGTCGCAGGCTCATGGTATAACCAAAATATGACGCACGCACTTTGGGCAAAGCGGTGGCAAACTGCGGATCGTTTATCTGCCTGTTCGGACGAGGGGATAAGTTAAAGGCCCCTACGCTGACCGCGAGACAGCAGAACAGCAGAATTACATCCAACATCAGGATCGACGAGTGACCTTGCCGCGCCATATCCTCAGTTGTGGGCAGCCTTTACACGCCTTGTCGAAATATTTAAAAACTGGTTAAAACTAGACAACTTCAATCTTAGACGTTTTTCCGTACTATCACAATGTCTTGGCACTAGCACTGAATGGCGTGGAGAACGAACACACACGTCCGCTAAGACTGAAATATGAAAGTCGAATAATCACGTACTCGACCCGAGCAACGGATGACTACCTCAATGAGAGCGCGAGCGCAAACGCGCGAGAAAGAGAGCCGTCTGGGCCCGTTTGTGCCGCTGATGAGAGCGAACCAAGCCAAACAACTGTTTCTCTCTGTATCTCTCTCCTCTTGCTGCTACTCACTTTACCGTTAGCTTCGCCAAGGGTTATACGCCATATTAGATTTTTTTATAGTGAAATCAATTCAATCAATATACAAGTGGGTGAAGAGTGTTGTAACAGCCCCACGCAAGATTCAAGTCGGACATCAGATATCCGATATCTGCAATTTTTGTAAAGTGCAAAAACTCTTTGGATTAGTCAGTGCTTTAACGTTCAGTTCAGTTCATTTTAAAGGGTTTATGCTACATTTTTGTATGAGTATGCCCGCCAAACGGGAGTCAACACTGGGTGCAAGTCACAGGCACTTGGGACACGGGCTACCGGCTCGAAAATTTCTTCATGAGGAGAACAAAGAAGGGCAAAGAAAACAACAAGCCCATATTTGTTTTTGTTTCAGCAAAGAAATCGGGATAAACGATATGTACATACGTATGTTTGTACAAATGTACGTCTGTATGTTCGTACACATGATTCGTTAAAACAGAGCGGAATTTCTGGTTCCGTTGTTCCCCAAGAGTGAGTCATACATACCCATGAAAACTGTCTCACACGCATACCCTGCCCCGCTCCAATGTTAGGCCCTTGTGAGTGCAGCGAAGATGCTCGCTTTGTGTAAACGATGGACTGTTTATTGAAACGGCCAATAATCCATGTTGAGACCAAACAAATTTTCGCTCCGATGCCCGCTGCCACTCCGTCAGCAACGGCATTAGCTCAGGAGCAGCGACCAGCAAATGTTTAAGAACAAAAGCTACCACGCTGAAACAACTTTTGTTGGATTTTTCGGAATCGGGTTTAATGACCAAGAGAAAAGCGGCTAAAAATATGTGTGTGGTGTCAAGTCGGAGTGGGAGGGGAGGAGGATGGCATGGCTGAGGCGCCGTTGCATTACAGAATGCAGCTGTTGCGTTCGCTGACGCCGTATCCCCCTTACTCGGGTTCTGATTGACAACTTATGTATGTGAGTCATGCCTCAGTCTGAATGGTTGCATGGCTACGCTCATTTTCCAGTTCTCTGTTCGATTCGAGAGACCACGACCACAGTCCGTAGAAATGGTAATAAGTATTCGTATGTTTTATTACTCGTTACTCTAATGCTTTCCCGGAAACAATGGAAATATTCTGGTCAACTTCAATTGAGGGGAATGAAATGGCAAATTGTCGTGATTTTACGCGCAATTTCCGCACATAATTAGACCAGTAGTTTGTATCTGGCCCTTTTAGGTTTCCAAGTACATACATGGGTACATACATATGTACCAGCAATAAAAAAAATCTTGGATGAGGAAACGGTTCAGGAAGTATCAACTCACCTCACATAATTTGACGTACTGCTAACGAGTTTTATATTACAAAAACAAATTAAAATGCAATTCTTGGCTCTCATTTTTCTCTAATTGCTTACTGCTAAAGTTATCTTCAACAACGAAGAGAATCGGAACCAAACCCATAGAGGGACTATTTATCTCGCAAGGTTTACTTTTTAAACTTAAAACTCTCTGATGTGAGCCGTTCTCTGAGGTGTGTGATGTCATTTCTGAGCAAAAGTCCCGTCAACAGGTCTACATATAATACACATAAATATGTATAAAGTCTCAAGCGAACTAGCTACCTAAGTATGTAGGTCATCAAAAACACACAGAGAAAAGTGTTGAAATTTGTCAATTGTGCGGATCGTACTCGGCTGGAGCCGAGAAGAGATCTCGGATCTGTGGCAATTGAAACTGATGGAACTCGAAGCTAATTTTTTGTTATTATTTTTAGATATTGCTGTCTGAAGAGAAATTGTTTTTGAGTGGTTTTCGAGCTGAGACTTTCCTACTTGTTCGGCATGTTTATGCAGCTGCCAGTCGAGATTGATGGTGGGAAAACAGAAATCGAGTCGCGGCCGTGGACCCATTTACGATTGCTGGTTTGGCAAACTACTCGGCCAAACGAAACATAAACGAGTAGGAAAGTTCGTGAGACGTTTTGTACGCGTCACAACTTTTATACCCGGTACTCAGTTAGTATGTCCCGCCAACACGTCCTTTTAGCTCGCCACCCTCCCCCAGAGCGAGAAAGCACTAGCAAAGCTGCTGGACGGGGTGGGGGTAGCTATTGAAAATTAATTTCTTCATTCTGGCTATAATAATAATGCAATCTAATCCCAATTCGGATACAGAACATTTTTGGACCTATGTGGGGGCTCATTTTTTAAAAACTCTTGTATCAATGTGATATCACCATTGTCTCCATCAGAACTCGAAATCGTCAATCGTATATTTAGCAAGAGACTATGAGTCTCAACTTTTGTTTCCATGTGCCAAGAGTCTCAAAATATTGACAAAGGTGCTCAAAGTTATTAATTCAAACGTATTGGTTGTCTTTCACAATCTCAAATGAACAGAAGGTGTCGAAATGTGTGTGTGGAAACAGTGCAAATATACTGGGCCGGGGCGGTTGTCGAATTATTTGCATACTCTTAGAGCCCCTCCTCGGTGCTATGCAACTCACCTTGTCGGTCGTATCACAAGGGTGTATCCGAAGTAGGAGCTGCGCGTTTGATTCAACTGAAAACTCAGATGCCGGGGGGTGCTTATCACTAGGTTTGCACGCGGCGAAAAGTTAAAGCCATCAACCAGCAGGCTTGGCAGTAGATGCAACGTCAGGGCCAGCGTCACGATCATCCAGAGTCGGCAGTTATCCATTTTTAAGTCGGTGATTGAATTTTCATCAAAATGTATTAGAAAGTTAATTAAGTTAATTTTCCTGCTCCGGCAAGTCAATAAATCGCAGGTTTGATGAGAGCCGCACAGTCACTGGCAAACTACACACTCGAAAATCAGGATTCGCTAGCACAAACTTACATATTTATTTTTTGATTTATTGAATTTAATTGACGCTCTCTACGCACACTCTGGAACACTTTATACTCGCTTTGACTCTCGCGCATATGCACATATTAAAGATCCCACGAATTTACATTTATTTAATAAAGCCCGGCAAAGTCTCCCGCTTTCTTTCGCTCCGTTCTCAGATAACTAAAGATGTATCTACTTCTGCAGACTTGAGAGACTTAAACGAGAAAAAATAGGTTGACTTGATATCTGTCGTTTAAGTCGTGCCAAGTTGTAAGATTTAATAATTACTGGTTCATATTATCTACACAAATGTGTTTTATTTCCGTAATCGCTGCCGCAACACTAAAAGCAGACTAAGACGAGATCTTGTGTGCCGCGCCACCGAACTTTGGACGACTCTTTTCACTCCCCGACGACTCGGAAACGAATGAATTGTGCTTATGCTTGTGCTGCCGCTGCCGCTGCCGCTGCACTGACGCTGCCACGAACAGTCTGGTGCTCGACTGAGATCGTCCATCCTACACATTTGTCAAAAGCAATATGTGAATGTATAAATAGTTTAAGCTGAAGTCTTTGTTTTGTTTCTAGCATAACCATTCAGAAAATTATCAGTTAAATAAATAAATAAAATCCTTATGCACTTTTGAAAACACTTTCAACAGGACAACTTGTTCGACCGTCCCTGATCCTTTGCATTGATCACGTATTGAGCACTGGTAAAAGCGTACGATCCATACCCTACCATCGCGACGAAGTAAACAGAATGGGATCGATATTGGCAAAGAAGGTTCGCGGATAATTTCATTATTTTTCATGAATTTGGCTTTGCTTATTTATTTTTCTACGCGACCACTGCAAAATTCCATAGATGCCGCGATGCAAATTTGTACATAAGTTTTGCTGATTGTTTTCGACCATTTCGAACGGTGGATATTCTTGTTGTGAGCGCCAGCACTGCAGTGGCAGCGTGCACTCCCATCCCATTGGTATGCTACGCACATACAGACATATATGTATGTATGTATGTATATGCAGTGCCACCAAACACAAACAAAGTCGACTTTTTACAGTCGACGTAGAGGGAGGCTTGTAGAAATCGTATTGGGCGGTGAGGGGTTTTACTTATTGCGAGTTATACTCTTATGAACTCTAAAAGGGAGTTTTTGTGCATATAAGAACACACATATTACGTTATAATTAATAATAAAATCGAGTATGACGCAGGCCCGCACCGCAACAAACCACACCCCAAGCCCCGTCGCACATCGCAAGCACGACATTCGGCGGTGCCAATGAAAATGAAAAGCATGTGGCGGATATAAAGGATGCCGATCACGATTCTTATGTGGGTACACTCCCGAAATGTGCAGCTTATGGGCCCTGCCTGCCGCTGTCATTGAACTTGGGGCCCACTAGCTATAAGTAGTGCCTTGTTTATACAATAATGAAACTGCTTATCAGCTGGAACCTAGGCTCGAACATGAACATGTATACATACAGTTGCTATGCCCAGTATGCCTCCAGCCCAGTATTGGGGTAGGTTTATTTATGATTCGCGGCTGGCATGAACTTATTTGAGTATCTACGAGGGTTCACTCAATCAATTAGAGCGATTACACAAGTACACAGAACAGTGGCCGGACCTGAAAAGCTGAAAAACAGCATTTAGTTCTTGGCTGACCCTCAAGCGTGTGGGTCTCAGTAATTGCATTTGTATGCTGTTTATCAAGGCAATTGTAAAACAATAAAAGCCAATAGGGAGAAAGTGCATTCCAGGCCACAGAGTCTGTTCGAGTGTGCTGATAAGACCACAAAACGGCTTTCCCCATTCCCCAACGACTTGGAAAGCGCTGCCTGCCTAATTTTAATTCTAAATAATATTCTAGTTAGAAGTTGTAAACATTCAACGGTTTCACACTTTTGTTTATTCCCCAAATGCATCATACAAAAAATATCTAAATTCTGAGTGATCAAGTAAAAATGGGAAATATCTGATGTTCCCAAAAGGGAAACATTGCAGTGGTAAGTGCTTTTGGCCACGCTCCACCACCCCTTGGCGTCGCAGTTATTGAAACGCACTTGTAATTATGTCCGCCAGCCGATTTGACAGCAATTTTATATGTGCATTTATACATACTAAGCATATATACACACATAAGTATGTACGTACATACACATACATATACCAGACAACATCGCAACGCAAGTGCAGAAGATCACTGAGATCAACAGAGGCACCTGCTGCTGCGCGTAGAGTGGTGAGTGTGGTGAGGGAAGGGAAACCATGATGTAGCGCATAATTGAAGTTCATGACCCAATGGTCGAAGTCAGACGCCCCTCGCACGAGTCGTCTTTAAGAGCCGAAACAGCTATTTCAGTTCTACTGCAAACGGGAGCATCAATTCCCCCTGCACGAGGCGCAAATTGAATTGTTGCAGCGAGTTTTAGCTTATGGGATGAGATGCAGTTGCCACTGAGTCAATGATTATCTGTCGTCACACTTGGCGGATGTTAAAGGCTCTGCCACAGCACTCCAGCTAGACCCGATTGCATTGTAAGTTGCTCTGTTTTATCAGTTTTACTCGGAGCATACATAGATACATATGTACATAATTACATATGTACTTACCTATAAATACATACATATATATGCACATATTTACATACATAAATACATATGTAAGTACATAAGTAGAAGCTGGGCGGACGTGAGACTGAGGTGCACCTGTGACACTGTTTCGAAGTAGCGCCTCCTTATTTGGGCTAGGCACCCCAGGCAGCTTCAAATGTTAAGAGGAAGTATACGATTAGAGAACAATGCAGGTGTATTCGCTTTTGGCGTCACCGTCAAACGAACAGAGCTTACGTTTGCCGGATCACGGATCGTTTAGTTGAACACTAGAAAGGCCAACAAAACCCAATAAAAATCGAGGATCTGATGTGATATTTGCAGTGCGTTCTGCGAAGAGAAGGTATTTCGAAAGGACAATAAAACTAAATGACCACCAAACCAATCAACCCTTTTAAATTAAGGGCCAGCGCCAGCGTTATGTTGGGCTCATAAAAAATGGGTGTCTGTTATTGATCTAGTGACCTAGTGGAAACCGTGCGTGAAAAAGTAGCCGGCTCTGGCACGCAACAAAGACAGACGACGCCGCCTACATAGTTATGCCTTTCATGCGAAAATATCTTCCATAAGGCATAAACTGAAGCACTTGCACAGCATGCAAATAATTGCTAGTATCAATACAACGTCCTTCCGGCGCTGCGGCCCTCCGCCCGACCGGTCATATCGAAGAGTGTGACAAACATCGAGTGTAATACGAGATGAACCTCTTGAAAAATTAATACGTTTCGTTAACTATATACATACATATTTATATGCATATGTACATGCACAAGTACATGTGACGTAGTCTCATACCGTATAAAACTGATTAAAAACATGTTCAGACATGTTTAGCTGACGGTCAAAAGTAAAAATCATTACTTGTTGTAATTGTTTGTTCATCATGTCCGTGTTGCGCGAAACCGGCACTCGCTTGTTACGTTTTCGTCATAAAAGAATCAAATTTTGTTATGATTAAGGAACCAAACCAACTTTTTCTGAAAGATATGGGGCTTAGAAATGGTCTGATGAAATTTATACCCGGTACTTGAAAAGAAATAAGGGTATATTGCATTTGTGCCCGAAACTTGATGTATCAGTTGTGTTCAATGACATAGTAGTGCCGGACCTTCTCACATTCAAAGACTTTTTTGAGACACTTCCAGACTTTCAATTTAAGCAAATGATAGCTTTTTGAATAGAGTGGAATGTAGGCTTTAGAAAATCAAATAAATCCCTACACATTTGCATTCCATCTTCTTGTTTTTCATAACTTTTGACGGATACCCTTGATATGGGCTGTTCATTGAAATAGTAGTGCTGAGTGCAAGTACTTCAAAATTATTAAAAAACAACAACAAATTCGAAATTGTCACCAAAAATAAACCTAATCTGTTATATTAAATATTTTGATGTGAAATGTGGACATGGATGTATTTTTGTTTTTGGAGCTTTGAAGAAATCATTGTTTGCTCCAGTAGAGTATACCTAAGATTTTGGGTAAAAGCTAAAGCCAAGAGGTATAATGGAATTTAAAACTAAGTTTAATGTGCTCTTACTATTGCAATTAACCATTTTAACTAGAAGAAGGTTCCTTAAAACTGATCTTTTATGCTAAAAACGTATCTTTTAGAGGTTGGTCAAAGATGGTCGAAGGCAAGGTCAAGGTCTTCAATATCCTCAAAAGTTTTGAAAACAATTTTATATCGCTCTGTAAGTGTTATGGCAGCTCGTTGACGACTGACTTCATATTATTTAAATGCAAGAAGTACCAGAAAGCTACGCGCTTGGTTCTGAAGGTATAGGGGTGTGCGGCTAAAGTTCGCAAGAACGCATGTGGCTGAGCTGCGTCACAGTGAAAATAAAATGAGAAGGGACGTGTGAGATCATTGCATAAGTTAGAACGAGACAATGTGGGTGAGTTTGTTCCAAACATAAGTAATCAAAAACCAAAAATCAAAAAATCCAAAAATCCAAAAAACCAAATCATCAACAAGGCCTATCAAAACATGACATAGTCAAAAGCATGACATACTTTGGAGGTAATTAGATCTCTCGGATGATATCTATGATATTCCCTCGTAGAGCACATCCAGCCGATCTGCCTGATCGTAGGAGCCTATAAGAGCAAGGTAGAAGGCATCCAGTCTTTTGTTACCACCGGATGGGACGCAACACAGGACAGCCCTTAAAATCGCTTCCTCAAGAACATAGTCCTACATCGCGTGGACCGCACTGAATGCGTTAATATGTGCGCTGCTGGACACTCGCAGGGGCAAACATGCTTTTGGGACTCTGGTTGTCTTCTGGGAAAATGGGTGCGAAACGATGGCAGGCTGCGGCAACGGCCAGTACGTCAGCCAAATGTCTTAAACTATAATTCGTGGATACAGAATATTGAGCTACTCTAGCCCTACCCTATCCCTATCGACGCCACAGGCTAACGGGGCAGTACGGCCAGTGCCGTAATATCGTATTTTGGATTATACAATTGTGGTCGACTTTTGGCCGATGGCTAATTTTGTTTTTACCAGTCCAATATGTTTCATTGTGTAGGTTTTAGTCAAACAAAAGAAAAACGCATTGCAAATTCAGGTCAGATCCAATAAGAAAGTATGTTACAGGCATTGTTATGACCAGTAAAATGGCAGGCTAAATTTTATCAATTGTACCTTAAAATATATTTCTAGCTAAAGAAATTAATGAAAAGTGAACCAACAAAAGTGAAACAACAGCAACTGTTGCAAAATGAAACTGGCAAAAAGTAAAGTTAAATTCTTTTTTTCTGTG